TATACATGTATTCTAATCTAAGTGACACTAAATATCATGAAAATTATCCATTTATGCGCTTTTTTTAAAATCACGGTTCCGAACGTAGTCGGATACCTTAAAAATATATGCTGAAAATTAATTGATTCGTCAACTAATCTGTAGGTAAAAGATGAGTTGCGGCCGTGGTAGCCTCGTGGTTATGGTCACGAGATTCGTGGCCAGTGTGTCACGGTTTCGAGTCTTCGTGTCACAGAAAAACTTGCCGTGTAGAGGGAACCGATACACATTAAACCTGTCAAGGTTCAATGTCTTCCCTTTAATGTGGTGTGGTAGTTAGGAGAGGGGGTGATAGCTCAGGCGTCGACATCGTCACTTGACCATGGTTCTAAATTGGGAGGTCCGTTGCCAAAAAGCTCTCGTGTAGCTGAACAGTGCGACGTTAATATTCATTCTCGAAAATGTTTTTCCTATCTTAATATTTTTGTGTTAAGCGTAACATGTATAATATTAGAAAAAAAATGCTTGAAAATACATCGTTGTTTGTCTGGACCGTTGTATTATTTCGTGTTAAGCGATATTTATTTTTGTCTTAAGCGTTTTCGCATTAACCGTATTTCTGTGTATTTAAAGATGAGGAAGAATAAAAATTTTAATTCTAAAACGAAAATTCTTACAAAAATATAAACACAAATATACCCATGACACATTTATCTCTTACTTAAAAATTAAATTTTATCTGTAAAACATAGTGTGTTATTCTGTAAACAACTTTCAAGATAGGGGGAAAACTAATAAAAGAAAAAGGAACATTATTTTTAAGAAAACATATCTTAAGTGAATTTTTTATTAAAATAAAAAGCATATTAAATAATGTGTCTGATTTAAGATTTTCTCAGTAAAAGACTTTTTAAAAATTAAAGCCAAAACGTGTGTAAAATAATCTAAGAAAACTAGTTTTTTAAACTGAAATGAGAAAAAGCAACTTTGAAAAAATACACAGAGAATGTTAATGGGGTGGGTGTTATCAACTATAACCAGTGGCGCACACGAGAATTGGGGTTTGGTGGGGGGGTCTTCTGGTCCGGACGCCCCCGTAACCCTTGATTTTTTTCCGACTGATTATAATCCTATGTATATATATATTACGTAAAGTTGATTAAGTGTTTTTTATTAATAATTAATTTTATTAAATACTGCTAATTATTTGTTCAATAATTAATTTTTTT